CAGCCGTGGTTTCGGGCGCTGCTTGCCCAGTTTCCGAACCCGGAGGTTTTTTCCCGGCTCCGCCTCTTTCGGGAGATCGGGCTGGTCCGGTACGTGACTGGTTCGCTCTTCTCTGCGAGTCTTCGCGTTTGGTGTTTTTGACTCGTGTTTATCACCATCTTTATGGTGAGCAGGTGGCTTCCTTGTTGGTTTCTCACCTGCGAGTTTTCTCTCGGCAGCAGTTTGAAGTTTCCTGGCGGTTCTTCCGGTTCTTTTTGACCCTTCGTCGTTGTTCCTCGCTTTCGGTTCGGGTGTTGTCCTTTCTCTCTTGGTTGTTTCAGGACCGTCATCTGATGCCTAATACTGTCGCCTCGTATCGTGTGGCGCTGGCAGAGCCAATGCAGCTTGCTTTCGATATTGATGTTACTTCTGCGCCGTTTCGCAAGCTGTCTCGGGCGTTGTTTCACCTCCGGGCTGCTCATGCGCTGCCTGAGCCGTCCTGGTCCTTGGACAGAATGCTCTTCTATCTTTCCTCTCCTCGGTTTGTTGTGACCCCTTCTGTTCAAGATTGTTTTGCTAGGCTCTCTTTTTTTCTGTTGGTATTAGTCTCTGTGGGTCGCCTGGTGGAGCTTCATGCTCTTCTCCGGCGCGGAAGTTTTTGCTCCATTGGTCGTGGTCTTCGGTTTGTTTGTTTGCAGCCGTCTCCCTCTTTTCTGGCGAAGAATGAGACTGCTGCTTTCCAGAGGGGTCCTTGGGGTTGTGGATGCTTGGTTTGTCAGGCTGGGGGTTCACCATGTGTTGTGTCCGGTTGGGGCCCTCTGCCGTTATCTGCGCACCACGGCTTCTGTGTCCGGGGACGTGCTTTGGGTTGATCCAGTTTCCCTTTTTCCCTGTTCGCAGGTTCGGGTCTCTCAGGTCGCCCGCAGGGTTATTAAATCCAGCCAGCCTGCGGTCTATCCCCGTGCCCATGACGTTCGTAAGTTTGCTGCTCTTGCTGCCGTCTTCGACAATATGTCTTGGGCTGACATTCGGGCACGGGGATTTTGGCGGTCGAACAGGGTCCTGGCTGCATGCTACCTGGTGAACGTTCCTGGGCCCAGTCGGGCCTGTGTTGCTTTAGGTCGGCAGATGCAGCCCATTGTCTCGTCTTCGCGTTGAGGAGTGGAACACCGACTGCCTCCTGGGTAAGTCCCCTTGGTTTTCTTGGTAGTCTTTGGTGAGGTAGCTCCAGGGAGCCAAAGGGGCTCCCCCAAGAAAACCAGCGTTGAACATAATGAAACGCCATTTTCTGGGCGAGACCCGGAGGCTCCCCGGCATCCCTCCCGCCTTCCGGTCGGCGGTTTTTCGCGGTTTTTGATATCCAGCCTCTGAACTGGGGGGTGGATCGCTGGCTCGGGGATCTGGGGCTCCCCCTTCCCCCTCCCGGGGAGGGGGTGGCTGCGCAGACATGCGGCGCGGCTCGTGTGGTGTCATGCTTGTTTGCTCGTTGTTCTTTTGGGGAGTTCTGTCCACTCGTTTGTCAATTTTCGTTGTTAACCAGAATAGGCGTTTGTTTTGTGGTGCTTACCTTTCTGGGTGCATGTCCCAGTCGATGGCAGATATAGAAGGCTCCAAATCACATATGCATTTCTATGGGCCATTGCTCCCCGTGCCTCTGTGAGGGGGTCCAGGTTCTGGCTCGTGGTTCCCGGTAGGCTAGAACTCCACCCACATTGACTGATGCAAAATAGTTAGGATATCCATATCAGCCAGGGATTGCTCCGGGGAGCCTCCGGGACTCAAACAGAAAATGGCGTTTCATTACATTCAACGCTGGTTTTTTATGGGAAAATTTGTTTTGAGTTACGAATTTTCAGGTTACGACCTGTCTCTGGGAATGGATTAAATTCCACTTTCTGGGAACGGATTAAATTCGTAAGTGGAGGTACCACTGTATGCCAAAAGTTTTCTAGCATCATGGCTGTTTCTTTATGGATTGGATTCTTTTGTAGACCCCTAAGAGAATATTTACCATACGAGTATTACTGAAACTGGATTATTTTGGAAGTACTGTACTTGTCAAAATGAATACATTTTTCTTACCAGAGAAACCTGCTTTAGATTTAAAAATGACAAAAGGTAAGCTAACTCTTTCTTTGTGGTAATGGCTGAAGCTACCAGAACCAAACCCCCTGTTATGAAGGCCAGATATGACATCTGGACAAATATTTCGGCATATTGCAATGAATGACACTTTTTGTCATTTAATTGTAGATGTGCATTGCAGTGGCAAGGTTAACATTGTTTTAATGATGGTAAAGTGGCAGAAGTACTCCAATATTGTTAGCTGTGTGTGTGTTCTTTTGAGATAGAGGTGGGGAAAAGGAACTAGGAATGCCTCTGAATCACACTTCTCCAAGTCATGAGAGATAGGGATGCTGCAAATTTTTTTTTTAAATTGTCAGGTGACATTTATTAAATATTTGTTACAGAATTGTATTGCGAGTGCTGTATTCTGTTATGGGTCTTGTTGTTCGAGAAGAATCACTGGAGAATAGAGACACTTCATGTCGTATCATCACCACCAATCATGTCACGCCATTTGACCATCTAGCAGTATCCATTGTCCTGCCATGTGTTACTGTAAGTACTATACTAGCAGTATTAATTTATATACTGCATGCTCTTAATTTTCTCCTTCATACAAAAGGGCCACATTTTGCAATTCCACCATCCACAAATAAAATCTTTACAAGCTAGATATTAATATTTTGTATTTATGTAATTTATTTCAAATTTTTTATCCAACTGATTTTGCATAAAAAAATGTGCAATGAAATTAATCTTCATTTGTCATTGTTACCTCATATCCTAATTTCATGGGGGTGGAAAGGCCTGAACCCATTAGAAATGAAGAGAAATGTAGAGAACAAAGGTCAAGAAAATTAAGAAGCCCATGCGTTCACCCAGTCTTCCACATGACATAGCATAACATAGCCTTCGTGGAGAGTTCTTTGGGAAAATGAGAAACCAGAGATGTAGACAGACTAATAATGCATAAGGGTTTTTATATCTTTTTTTTTCAGCCTAGCGTGTATGATCTTCCTGGAGCTTTATCAACGCTGTTATGTTATCGTGACCTTGGAGTGACACAGGGTCGAGAGGTGCTACGAGCTAGTGCTCGAATTTTTCTTAGTGAGCGTAACAGCCCCCCTCTGCTTTTGCATCCAGAGGGTGCAACCACAAGTGGAACTCTTGCTTTAATGAAGTAAGAAATTTATACCTAATAAAATCCTACATTTGCACAAAGAACAAATTTGTGAAAATTGCATGGCGTTTCCACAAAACAAAGCTTTTGTTTTGGGTTTTGGGTATGATTGAACACACAGAGTCCTTCATTTCAAAGTCTCAGACACACAGTTCTAAGAGTATAAAATGTATTTCCTATTAAAGCAATAACATTTTCACCTCTTTGAGAATACAGTATTTGGAAACATTCAACACCTCAAAGGATAATTTATTAAAACATTCATAAATTTTATATGATCACCCTATTTCACACTTTCATGGGATGAGGAACCCCTAAACTCGCAGAAAATAATACTTAATGGGTAAACTCTATACGAGTTTGGAGAGCACGCTTTTGTAGCTGTAATATGGTTGGAGTACGGTTTTTAATGATAAATGTTTAGGCAGGTGTTTTTATTTAGAGAAGAGTGAGAAAAAGTGTATTCTTGCCAGTCTATGTAACATGTCCCTATTTTTTTCTCTAAAGTTATGTTTGCTCTGGGAGTTTCGTCAGGCATAATGTACGTACCTCATTGAGAGCGAGGATTCAGTGTTGTTACAGGGTAGCTAGCCTGATTTGAACATCTGTTCCTCTTGAGGAATGCAACTAAACAAATTTGGGCTTATGCATTTTTGTTGTAGGTTTAGAAAAAATTTGTTTAGGGGTTCTATTGTTTTTGCGATAATCTTACTAGGCCAGTCTCATAATAAAGTATATCTAGCTAGTATAAATATATATTTGGAAGGATAAAGGTGTCTTTTTAAACTTCAAAGATGTATATGAAAAAAGTAATTTAACAAGTTCTTGCATTCATTATTTGTTATGTGTATAATGTTTGTGTGTGTATATGTATGTATGTATGTATGTATGTGTGTGTGTGTGTGTGTGTATGTATGTATATATATATATATATATATATATATATATATATATATATATATATATATATATATATATAAAAAAATACACACACACACACACACACTTGTACAGTAAATAAATATAAATAATGTGTGTAATTCTTTCGTCAGGTATGGAACATGGGCATTTGAGTTAAATGGGCCAGTGCTAGTTGCAGGCATTCATGTGTGGCGTCTTCCTCTCCTTCCCTTGGCACCTTCGGTTTTGGGTGCCTCCTGGGCGGCCGACTTGTGTTTCATGCTCTTTTCTCCTGTTACGCTATTTACTATAAGGTGAGACATTTTTGCTCTAGGTACAAAAATTTTAATTGTAATCACATTTACAGGTTTTAATGACAACTAATAATGGCACTAGGAGTCATTAAGTTTTGATGTAATTGAAGGCTTAACACTTTGCCTGGCCCGGCACGTGACCCCCAGTACACCCTAAGGTCGGCTGGGCATTTCCCGTGAACTTGCACCCACACTAAAATGTGTGTATGGTTTTCAGTTTTCTCACCTCAATTTTCGTGCTATGTCGTTCATTTTGGTATCAAATTGTTTGCAATAAAATTATCTAACTTATACAGTTTTATCTACAGGCAGTTTACCCTTTGCTTGTAGCTGAAGATCTTTTGATGCACAATGCTGCAATCTGAGAATACCACAGGTGTATACACCTTGTTCAAACAGGTTTTTATTTGAGTTGGGATCATGAAGTGGGTGGGAGGTCAGTGAGTGGGATGAGAGTCTTGGAGTGGACAGGGATAAGGAACTTGGTGGGAGTCACTGAGTGGATGGGGGTCAGGGAGCAGTTGGGGACCAGGGTGTGTATGGTGGTCAAGTACAGGAAAAGGTTTAACCCTTAGACCGCGCAATACATATATAGGTGATTTGAGTAACATTACCGATACCGGGCAATACATTAATAGCTGTTTTAGTGTCTAGTGCTTTAATTTAAATGCCCCGCATGGGATAGAGGCAGCTATAGTGCAGCCATGACCGATAGTTGGCAGACGCCACCTAGAAAAAAAATTGTGGCCAACATTCCTGGGTGTGAGAGCCTCAGTACTGAGCGAGCCACCAAGGCTGACGCACGCAGCATGAGCTCACAGCACCGCTGTTCAGCTTGTGACCACAGCATTGCCTAAAAATGTCAAAATATATATGTACATGCTATTATTTAGCAATGATAGTATTACAGAAGACCCTTGACTATGATAAAACTGACCAGGATTCTGATAATAGCAGGATTGTGGTGATATTTAGCGCTGTGCTCCATGATGGGAGGAGTAATACTGAGGTAGGGAGGATGGTGGCGCCGTCTTCTGACTGTGTGCGGCCACCTTTTATTGACTGGACTTACCATATCAGCTTAGTGGTTCGCTATGGTGAACACAAATGTAGATACTTATATATAACTTGTGTGTATAAAGTGTAATAACAGCAAAAGGATGTGAGCTGCCATTTTGGTGAGGGAGGTGTGTCGTTTGTATGACTTATCATGTTGTTTACTGGTGGCCACTATGGTCTTTGGGCACCATACCAGCTAATTTGTACAGGTATGGTGAATAAAACGTGTAAATATTTATATATAATGTGTTTATATAGTGTAATAACACCACAAACAGTATTGTTGGAGGAGAAATATTAGTGCGTCTGACCTTGAACCAGTGACAGCAGCAGCCATCAGCTGACTGTGTGTAGCTAGGTCTCTTATTGCTTGAACTCGCCATACAAGCTTAGATTACAGTTATGGTGAACAAAGCGTGTAGATACTTATATGTAACATCTGTGTATAGTGAATAAAAGCAAAAACAGTATGGTTGGAGGAGTATGTTGGCGAGTGAGGGAGTGGTGGCGAGTGACTAACTGACTGGTGAGTGAAGGCCACTCTTCATTGCCTTTTGACTCGCAATACCAACTTAGTGGTTCGTTATGGTGAACAAAACATGCAGATACGTATACATAACATGTGTATATAGTGTAATAACAGCAAAACTATTTGCTTATTGTTTTATCAACATAATAATTGAATCACTAATATGAACACAATTTTGACTACAGCGATGGTTCACGCATTTTATTATATAAATATATCACAATACACACTATTGAATTATATTACTGCAAAAAAAAAATCAGACATTGAAATACAGTAATTAGGTAATAATATCTTTGTGGCAACCTCTGCCTGACAGTTCCGGTGAGCAGGCCTCGTCTGGTGACTGCTCTGTCAACGCCTCTTTTTTGCCAGACTTCCTCGCCCTATTGTGGCCAAAATATTGTGGCTATGATTTTTTCCCCCTGTGATCAGGAAACACAAATGAACACTTTTATAAGACGAAAGAAGTTTTGTTGTTGTTGTTGTACCTGTGGGTGTTGAAGGCAAAATGCCCCTTAGTGGCCCAAGGTTTAAGATTCAAAATAATACCCAACCTTTTTGCATACGTTTCACACTCGACAGCATCATTGAGAACAAGCACCACCAAACTCCGTCAAAGCATCCACAGTGGTTCCCCAACACTTCATAAAATATGATCCTCATGAGTTATGTATAAACATGCCAAACACTATCAAAAAAATTGCTTTCACCTAGCATTGTTCCCTGCCACTTTTTGTGTTCCAATCACACTTGGTCAACACCTCATTACAAACTGTACTATATTTGTTCATTACCAAACAATCTTTGCATTCACTCCATCGTTTGAGTTACTAATTTATGTATGTACCACATTTTTCTAGACCATTAGGCAAATGGTGGTGGCACACGAGCATTTTTGTATACAGTACAAGGGTTGACAGTGCCCCACTGTCACGTAGCCTTCTAGCTGCACTCTTTATCTAGCACGCTAGTAGATCCCAGAATGAATGTGTATTACAGTATTTGGATATTAGAAAGTTGTTGCCATATCTAGTTTTATTTTGTTCTAGAATATAATTAGAGTATATACCAAGATCATGGCAGTGTACAGTACTAACAAATGAGAGAATTTTTGTGTGTTCCATATTACTTTATAGAGTACTTTCAACCATTTATTTTATTCTGCAGATACATTGGAAAAATGGATAGGGGCGAAAATGAAACCGTTGAAGAATTTGCTGCTCGTGTCCAAATTGCCACAGCAGCTGCACTCAGTGTTCAGACCTCTAATCACACAGTAGCAGACAAGGTTAGCCTGAAAATGATTCGTCTAGCCCACAGTTGCTATATAAATACCAAAATTATGGGCTGAAAATTTCATATCATTAGCTTCTCTATTAGTGACTGGGAATGTGTGAGAGATCCATCCATTTTCACCTTTATTGCAAATGGCTATATATATCTAAAATACCAAGCCACTCATAGTCATATTCTAGGAAAAATGTGGTTATAGTCAGCATAAGCAGGTATAATAATAAACTTTGATAATGGTACCGTATATACTGTATCAGTCTTTTTTTTATTTGTAATTCGTTTTTTAAACCAGTCTGCATGATTATCCAGTTGCCTGTCACTTTAGTGTGTACACACTTACTTAGTGTTCCTCTGTTCAATTTATGAAAGATTCCTAAAGAGTAAAATATTGCCTATAAATATCTTTTCCCAATTGGCATTTCAACTCGATAAATATTTAATTTAATCCTTACTGCAAACATTCGATAAATTCTCCGTGTAACATGTACAGTATATTGTATACTGTATAACTAATCATATAATACACATGTCACTTCGTGACTAGGTGGAATATATGAAACGACTCGCCAGAGAGGCGGCAGCAGCAGCAAATCCTATGCTCAGCCCAGAAGTGCATAGAATGGCTCAACAGGTCCAAGAAGTACTACCACATATTTCCCTTGAACAAATTAAAAGGGATTTAGGTGAGTGTCTTTCTTTGTCTTGTGTGAATTTATTCTAAATATCGTCATCACTGGGATAAGATAATGGTCTTGAACTGCTTCCTTGGTAAACAATACTGTACTATACTTAAGAGACCAAGATCAGTTAATTTGTTAGTTTCCAAAATACAGTACTTTAATACTTTGTTCTATTATTTTCAGTTCACACTCAGAATGTTGATTTAACGATCACAAATTTTTTGGAGGGCAACGTACCAGAGCCAGTACCTGAACCCCGACCCATCACTCCAAGTCGGTCTTCTCCTGGTCCAAGTGTACAGCCAAATGAAACGGGCAGTTCGACTCCAATTGCTATTCAATCTCAAAGTCCATCTTGTGCTTCAGATCTTTCTAAGAGCACTTCAGAGAGTGATAGCCCTCCAGGAGCAATGTCTAAAGCCTCAGTAACTTTGAGTACAGCAGCAAAATCATTTGGAAAATGTGCATCAGAAAGAATGACTTCTTTTCAGAGTAGAAAAGCACAGCTGATAGAGAATGCTAGGAGAAAATATATTGAAAAGCATGGACTACAAATACCGGGCTACAATTGCTGACAAACTGTGCAATGACTAATTTCTTTGTTGTGTGATGTTCAGTTTTATCAGCTATTATTGTGTATAGCTGCTCTTGAACAGGGCTTGGTTGTAAAATAGAATTCCTTGTTGATAATAAATGCATAACAAGATGGAATGTCTTTAGGAGCAGTTCACCAATTTCAACATTTTTGAAAGACAGACAGAGACATGCATTTTGAGAACATCCTGCCCCCCCCCCCCCACCCCCCCTAGAAAATTAATTGTAAAATGCTGTTCTTTGAGCTGATATATGGCACATTTGACAATGGAAAATTGCAAGTAATTAAGAGTATGATAGGTAATTGTGATACAAATTAAAAATGTAATGTCTTGAATTAATTAAATATATTTAATTTTCATTTAAAATATTCAGTAGAAATAAAAATTTAAGGTGCAGTTTTATGAACTTCATTCTTTTAAAATTTGTGGCAAAGCTGTCTTTTACATGGCTTGATGTCACATTAAAGAATCTGATTTTTTTAGTTGTATTTCATGAGCAGAGCAGGTTACTTAAAACTATGTTGCGTTAATATTGTGACTTTAAAATGTCATCCTGGAGATAAGAAATACAGTAGTTAACTATGAATGAGACAAGATTAGTGTGAGTAATTGCAATGTAAAGTTAACAAATATACATAATGTCTATAAAAGAAAATTTATATAACAAAATTTTTACCCTTTAAGACAGAAACCAAAGTTTTAAATCATAAGCTTTTTGATTTTAATTATTTAAGAGTAGAAAAGATATAGAAAAGATACCTGATGCAACCAGTTAAAAGAAGAGACCTCATAACATGGAAAAAAAATTAGAAAAGGGATTATGGATAAAAGTTTGATTATATATATTTGTCTCCAAATATGCAGAAACGTGTAATTTTCTATAAGAAAACTGTAAGCTTTGGTTTTCCAGAATGGTATACAGTTCAATACTGTAGTCCAGATTCTAAAGCTACTACTGTATTTTATTTTGCCAGTTAATGGTTAAGTTTTATTTGCATAAATTACCATGTGTTAAATCTTTGTGCCTTTGGTGATATTTTCATAGTTCAAAAATAAGAGTACAAAGTCACATTAATTTATATTCCTAAGATTGTATATGATACTGTATTAAGTGTACAGTATTCATATGGAACATGACAAAAATTAAAGTTCTAAATTGTTTAAATTAGATTTAAAAACGCCTGGCTAATGCACCATTTTCACGTTTATTTTGATGGTTTGAAATGAAGGGGTGATCTAGTACTGTGTTGCATTGCACTTTAGGGAGCGTTATTGCAAAGTTATTACAGCTTACCCTCTGCTTTATGCCCCAGAGAATATTTAGTATTATCATCTTCAGGCTTAGTAACAGTCTTGCAGTAAACTTAAGAACTTCAAACTCGTTCTGCATTAATAGAAATCTTGCACATGATCTATTTTCACCTTGTTACCTTGTGTAATTATGGTGTATATTGGTGAATCCTGTATGCATCCTGTAGCACAGTGGTCTACATCCTCGGCTCTCAATTCAGTGACCCTGGGTTCACTCCGCAGGCAGGTTAGGAACGGTTAAGCATATTCCTTTCATCTGATGCCTAGCAGTTAAATTAGATACCCGAGAGTTTGAAAATTGTTGTAGGTTGTATCCTAGGGAAGGTCAGTAGTTGGCCTAGGGGGATTTTGATAAGGAAAGTACTGTACAAGCTTCCTCTTCCCAACAAATGGAAATTAAACTAACCATATAAACAGAGCATGTTGATTCTGCAATGTTATGTGTGAGGTCTGCTCTGATTTGTTGAGCATGTTCTGACAGATGCAATTTAGCAATTTTTAAACATTAAAAAGTGTTACTGGCTTGACTTGGGAATATAATAATTTATAACCATATTCATTAATGCATAACTTGTCTTAAAGTTCTGAATGGAACCTGGTTACAGTGCTTGGCATGATTCTAAAATCTTGTACAGTAATTCTATTCAGTTTAAATGATTCATAGAAGTCTCTTAATTACTGTGTAACATTGTAATAAAAAAATCATATCAGTTTTCTATACGATAAGTTATGTTGCTAACCGTTGAATAATTTGAACTTATAAAGACAGCAGAGAAAACATTACAGCACAGGAATCATGAGTTGGATTTGTGAAGTTTACTCATTCTAAAAGACTTTTTAAACAAAAAGCATGACCATTCATTCATTATGCTAACCAGCATATGTACATTTTCTTGTGTAATCTATGGACAGTTAGAGATCTGTTAAACTTGTACAGTGGAACCTCGTGTGACGAGCGCCTCAATTTACGAGCATTTTGAATAACGAGTGCGCCAATCGCTGGCAGTTTGTCTCGATTGGCGAGCGCTCATTTGATTAACGAGAAAACTACATGGTGCGTTCCTGCTGCTTCTCAGACGCCTCCAACGATGCAAATAATTTTTTTTTTTTTTTTTTTAAAGATGCTAATGATGCTGGGATGTAAAGCGGTGACTGCTGTGATGTTGCAAAGCATTGACTTATTTTTGTAGAATAAAAAAAAAAAAAAAAATTTGAAAAACGGAACAAATGTCAAAAAGGTTCGTTCGGTGTTTGTCAGGTAGGCTGCTCCATATTTCTTGAAAAACAAAAAAAAATGAAAAAATTTGAAAAAACGGACAAATACCATAAAGGTTTGTTCAATGTTTAAGCTGCTCTATTATTAATAAATAAATGAAAAATACAAAACAAATTGAACACATTTGAAACAAAGAAAGATTGTCATTATGGAGCATCCTACCAGACAAACACTGAACGAACCTTTATGGCATTTGTCCGTTTTTCAAATTTTTTAAATTCTTTTTATTTTTTTGTTTTTTGTTTTTTTAAGAAACATGAAGCAGCTTACCTGATAAATACCAAACAATTCTTTTGCTATAAATTTTTTTTTGTTTTTTTGTTTTTTTTAACAAATTTGAAGAAAAATAATGTCAAATGTTTGTTCAGTGTATGTAAGATAGGCTGCTGAATTATTTAAAACCGAATATTATATTGATGTTTTTCGGTGGTAGAATGGATTAATTTGATTTCCATTATTTTAAATAGGGAAATTCATTTTGAAAGACGAGCGTTTCACATAATGAGCTCGGTGCCGGAACGGATTAAATTCATTATTCGAGGTTCCACTGTAGTTCAGTAATTTAATGATCAACCACAAAAGGTGATTGTACCTATAAGTTGAGATTTGAGCAATATGATAGGAAATGCAGGATAGACCAGTGAAGAATAGTTGCCATAAGCACAATCAGAGGTTCATGGCTTCTCAGTGTTTTCCCAACAAGCATAAGAAATTGCCAGAATAAAAGTGGACATGTTCAAGAAAAAATACACAATACTGCAAGGAGGGTTATGGTGAATATGTGGGCCTGTGGGTCACTTCAAGCAACAGCGTGTTGGACCAGGTTATCACAAGTCGAGCCTGGTCCTAGGCCAGGCTGAGAGTAGAACACACTCCAGGTATGCTTCATGATTTGACCTATAATGCTAATACATAAAATTACTGTACTTGCCTAATTGTGCTTGTGGGAGTCACGTTTTGGCTCTTTGGTCCCACCTCAACCTTCAATCAATTGGGGGGACAGATTCCTGAGCCAATTGGGCTCTTATCATATCTATATTTAAAACTGTGTATGGAGTCTGCCACCACACATCACTGCCTAGTGCATTCCATTTGTTTACAACAGACATTAAAAAAGAAAAGTTACTGTATTTCTAATGTCTTTATGGCTCATTTGGGTACTCTGTTTCCATCTGTCCTACCCCTTCCCATACTTTAAATAATGTCTTTGTCTACCCTATAAATTCTCATGAAAAGCTTTTATGTGGTGATCATATCTCCCCATAACATTTTTTTTCTTCCAGCGGCATGAGGTTTATTTCCCGTAGTCTCTCATCGTAGGTCATATCCTTCAGCTTGGGTACTATTCTGGAGGCATGCCTTTGAACCTTCTCCAATTTAGTTTTGTGCTTGACTAGATACAAACTCTATGCTGGATGCATACTCCAGGATTGGTCTGACATATTTGGTAAACAAATTTATAAATGATTCCATAGACAAGTTTTAAAGGCAGTTCTTATGTTGGCCAACCTGGTATATGCTGCTGATGATATCCTCTTGTAGTGGGCTTTAGGGGGACAGGTCTGGTATAATACTGCTAGAGCAAAGGCTAAATTATTTAAAAGGTAACTTGACAAACTTCTGGAAAAGCTACAGGGTGTGATTGCAACATGGGCTTTTGGACTGCTAATACAATTACAGTAATATAACTAACAAATACATGGGATGCTCAATGTCGGGTCAGGCTACGAGAAAACAACTCGATAAAACGACTATAGGTAAACCACAAGTATTATACAAGTAGTTACCAAGCTACGAACAGGATAAGTTTCAAACGGCGTTCATAACTTGGAATTGGATTATCCATCCATAGGCACAATATTACAGATAAGGGATATGTTACTGGACCACTAAAAATCAATATGAAACCCAAAATTTGGGTACAAATAATATAAATGCTTTTATTTATCTTGAATGATCAAATTGTTTTACATGTCTTATATGATACATTTTAAGGGGCAAAAATGTATAATTAATAAAGGCAGTAAAAGGTGGTGATGCATGAGCACTGTTGAACCACCAACTCATTTTATCAGTTATTATTGACAAAATTTTCTTTTATAATTAAAATAATGCACACTTTCACATAGTGATAGATAGTTTGAACAAATTAGGTGAGAGGATGGTGGAGGCCAATACCATCAATACTGTAGTTTCAAAGTGTTATATGACAAAGTGCTGGGAAGACAGGACACCACGAAAATAGCTCTCGTCCTGTAACAACTCTTGGGTAATTACTAGTTGCACTGTTCATCATGTGTGGACAACCAAAATTGTATAGAAGGATGAGGGGATAAAATGAGGATTTTGAGGCTGTTAATAAGTCCGGGAACCGTCTGTTGTTAGTATTACTGTATATTTTTAAGTAGCTTTCCATATTTTTAGCAGTACTGTATTATAAAAAAAATACAAATTGCATAACACTCAACACCCCTGCTGGCAAAGTCTAGCACCTATCCCATCCCTACCCCCATCACAGGTAAACCACAGAACTGTACATCATCTTGGCTACTACCCAGTCATTCCTCTCAAGTGGTCTTTGTTCTTGAGAAAATGCTGAAAATGTGAACAGCACCTAACCTTTTTTATTGGCTAGTCACAAACTGGAGAAAAAAATGCCATTGTTCTGGTCATTGTTGTAGTTTTTTCTAAAATATGGTATAACTTGCTAGATGCATAATATCTGTGAGAAGACAAACTTACGATACCTTTTGTGGTTAGTTAATAAATAGTATCATTGTTCAAAATAGGGTACTATAATTAACTAAACAGACCTCTGCCAATTTCTTCTGTGATTTTTCCTTCATATGTTTTGATGGACACTAGTTATTTCTGAAAATAACAGCCATTAGAAATAATACATATATCTAGGGGAATACATATGTAAGAGTATTGAACTACTCTTAGATTAAACTTTGATTCTCAAACTAATTTATGTACAGTATACTGTATATAACTTTTAACACTTACGTTTTGTGTGACATGGGAATATGGTATGGAGAGTTTTGTTTAAATATGAAATGAATGTGGAGATTAATATCCTGTACTTAAATGCAGTCAAGATATTTTTAATTTTGTTGAAAGTTAGTTTACTATTGTATTAAAAAATCTGCATTAAAATTTTTATAAAAATAATAATTCTGTATAGATTTTAATATTTAATGTAATTTTCTTTTTGATAATAATTTATCTTATTGTTTTGCAAGTTACAATCTGCATAATGTACACGTTACAAAATCTAATACATCCTTATGTCAAGTTTTATCAGAAAAAAATTATTTTTGTCAAACACCAGTGCTTTATTTAACCCTTTGTGGACATTTCTTTAATTATAAAAACCGTTAATCATGCACACTCCGAATCGATAAATAGTGAGTGAGCATTTCCTGCCTCTATTTCTATCAGTTATTTTACTGGCACTATAAAATCAGGATGCATGTCGCTGCAATGCCATTTAATTGTGGGAAAATACCTTGCTTCATGTCCCCCACACTAGTGATAATGGAAAGATTGCATGTTTAAATTTTCTTGACAGCAACTCAGTGCTATAGGTTGCTAATGTACTAGAATCACAATTTTGTTTAGTGTGCACATTATGTACAGTACTTCTGCAATTACTTTTACAGTACTCTGTTACTTGTATTGTACACGTACAATATTAAGTGTTTAGGAATACAATAATTAATGCTCCATGAACACACACAAAAAAATGTAAAGTGCTGGTATGTTTTGGGTCGTAGTGCAGTTGGCTTCATTCTCGACTCGCAATTGGAGATTCCCAGGTGGAACAAATGGTTAGGTATGTTTCCTTTCACCTAATGCCTCTGTTCGTCTAAATGTGAATAGGCAGTTTGGAGTTTGGCAACTGTTGCTGAGTTGCATGTTAGGGAAGATCAGTAGTTTAACCTTGGCAGGTTATGTTGATAAAAGTGTAAAGTATATACAATATACACAGGCTTTCTGTCCCAGACAAAATTAATTAAAATGTGTAAAAAATTGGCTATTGCAGGATGACCTGTTAGTATATCCCAGAGGTACAGTATTTATATTTTAATGGGGGAGGGGGTATGTAAATTGCCAATAGATTCAACATCCCAGGGTACATCCAGGCAAGCAGGTGGGATATATACAGTATATATATATATATGGGTCCTGTAGTGGGATATATATATATATATGGGTCCTGTAGCAGGATATATATATATGGGTC